ACTGTGACAAACGCTTCATCAGCACCCCTAGGAATAGCCCTGTCCCAGCAAGTCTCCAGATGGTGATGGGTCCTCTTACTGTGCTTGTTCCGACTGTCCCCCATCCCACATTCCCAACATTTCAAGGTTGAGTTTCTTATTTTATCAGAGTACATGTGGCACAAAGGGGCAACTACTGTGATATGGAAGCATCTAGCTCTCCAGAAAAAAATCACAGACTTACATTCAGCCAGACACATTTTGACTCTCAACCCAAAGGCCTAGGAAATAATTAGGCTTTGAAGTCCTGAATCAGGAAATCTAACCTGTATCCAAAAACCCAGAGAAACTGACTGATTCTGTCTCAGGCAAATGGGTAGCCAATCCAGCCTGCGTCTTCTGAATTTCCCGTTTGTGAATCGTGAGATTATGTGGTTAGTCTTAAAACTAAAGAGAACAAGAAGCTGTCATAGTGGCCATAATTTTCAGGACTTAGAAGGTGAATCTCTGTAAATTTGAGGCCAGCCTGGTCTACATAGCGAGTTCTAGGATAGTCAGAGACCTTGGGGTGGGGGAGAGAAGGAAAGGTAGAGAGGAGAGAAAGAGGAGAGAGAGAGAGAGAGAGAGAGAGAGAGAGAGAGAGAGAGAGAGAGAAACAAGCCAGAGCCTTGATAAATGCACACAGTGATCTCACAAAAGAAAGTTACAACTAGGCATGCTGGCTCAGACCTGTAATCCCAGCACTTGTGAAGGTAAAGCAAAAAGAGTGCCACAAGTTTAGTGTCAGATTACAGAGTGAGTTCTAAACCAGCCTGGGCTACAAAGTAAGAGCCCTTTCTCAAGCAACAACAAGAAAAAGGAAATTATAGAGTTTGTAGAGCAAATTCCTACAACTTTATAACCCACTTTAGAAACACTGCATAGTGTCCTCATAATTTGGTAAGCATATATTCTCATATACAGAGTGAGCTCAACCTACATTTTAGATGAATGGAAGGTTGTCTAGCTCCTTACTGTGTGATCTCTAGCCAGCCAGCTCTCCCCTTTTGTTTGTTTGGTTGGTTGCTTGGAGGGTCGGTTTTGACACAAGAGTCTTACTATGTAACCCTGACTGGCTTCTTGCTATGTAGGCTAGGCTGGCCTCAGACTCACAGATTCATCTGCCTCTGCCTGCCCAGTTTGGGGACTAAAGAAAAGTATGCCGCCATACTTGGCTAGCTTCTGATTTTGGAGCCCCATGCTTATCTTCTACAACAAGGTACAGCAAACCATTTCCATAAAGGAGCAGACAGTAAGTATTTTAGTCTTCGTAAGCTCTGCAGCTTCTCTCTTTCTCTCTCCCCTCTGTCCATCCTTCCCTCCCTTCTCTCCTTCCTTTCTCCTCTCCTCTTCCCTCCCTCCTTCCTTTCTTCCTTCATTCTTTCCCTTATTCTTTCCTTCCTCCTTTCTTCTCTCTAAAGTGTAAAAACTATTCTTAGTTCTCAGGCCAAGAACACAGGCTAGTGGAAAGGGCAGAGCAGGATTTTGGTGTGAGACATAACTGTTGACTCATGTTCAACTATGCTCACTACATCTATGAATGGTGTGCAGAAATTTACCAGCTTTCCTGCATTTTGTTGTTGTTGGTGGTGGTGGTGGTGGTGGTGGTGGTGGTCCCTCTAAACCACTAAGCTATTTCCCTTTGCTAAGTAAAAGTTGATGTCCAGAGAAAGAGATGATGAATCTCCTTGGCAAGGTGACTTAGTATTAAGAGAAAGCTGAAATAGAGATTTTGTTTTGTTTTGTTTTGTTTTGTTTATGGTTTTTTTTTTTTTTTGAGACAGGGTTTCTTTCTTTCCTTTCTTCCTTCCTTCCTTTCTTTCTTTTTCAAGAAAGAGTTTCTCTGTGTAGCGTTGGCTGTCCTGGACTCACTTTGTAGACCAGGCTGGATTCACAGAGATACTCCTGCCTCTGCCTCTCAGATTGCTGGGATTACAGGCATGGGCCACCATGCCCAGCTCCAGGGTTTCTTTTTTAAGTAGAGATTTTTAAAAGCCAGACCTGCAAAGAAACACTAGACCTTAATACTTAGGAGAGAAGACATTGAACCATGGTGTGTAATTGTAGCATCTCCGCTATTTCTAGAAAACAAGGGGTCTAAGCAATAGTTTTTGGGCTGGTTCTTTGGTAGAATACCTGCTTAATACATAAGTCCCTTGGTTTAATCTCAAGTTCTCCTACACAGAGAGAGAAAGAGAGAGAGACGAGCACTACTTGGTGAAAGAACAACACATCTACTTGCAGATGCTCAAAAGGCTGCTAACAGAAAATATGGGAGAAAACTTTCAAACTATTCCTCAGGTCTTCCATGCTATGGCTACTTATAGACAAACAGTGTCAGGAGCTGGAACACTGGCTGCCCTTCCAGAGGACCTGGTTTAAGTTTCCAACACCCACACGGTTAGCTCATAAATGCCAGTAATTCCATTTCCAGGGACCCTAATGCCTTCCTCTGTCGTCCTTGGACATCAGGCACACAAGGTGATGCAGAGGCATAGCTTGAGGAAAAATACCCATACACATGAAATAACAAAATAATAATAATAATAACTTAATGCCGACCATCTTGTAGGTCCCCATCCCACTGGGCCTCACACTGACTCTATGAGGCAAGTTACTGCGATCTCCACCGGGTGAGTGAAGGGATGCTGCAAACGCTGGTTAGTGTGTTTGCCTGCTCAGAGGCAGGTAAGAAGTGATGGACTCACAGCACAGATGCCAGTCTCCTTGGCTCCACAGTCAGAAAGTGTCCTGCTGATTTGAACCACTTCCCTGAGCTCATGATCAGAACGTTCACAGTCAATTTCTTACAGTGTCTTAGCTATGTAGAGTATTAGGTTGTTTGATAAATGTTTCTCGTGTTAGTTTTCACTCACTCTGTACGGACTGATTTCTTGCATTCTGCTCACCCAAGTTCAATATTTGAGTTACAATTCAAATTGGGTTCTTGGCTCAGAAATAGATTTATATAAATATACTCAATCGGTTTGTGACAGATGCCAAAGCAATCCAGTAGAGGAAAAAAATAGCCTTTTCAAAACTGGTATCTAAGTAATTGACTATCCACAGGCAAATAAATAAACTTGGATTACATAAAGAATTAACTGAAGTAGATTTAGGGCTTAAATGCAAAATATAAAACTATACAACTTTTAGGAAGAAAAATAAGATAAAAATCTTTGAAATACAGGGCTAGGCAAAAAAAAAAAATCTTTAGATTCAATGACAAAAATACAACCCATAAAAGGAAAAATTATTAGGTTGGACCATATTAAAACTGAAAACTCTATTGACAGTCCCATGAAAGAAATGAAAAAAATTTACAGACTGGAAGAAAATATTTGTACACTATCTGCTCAGAAAAATATGCCCCAAACTCAACAGTTAAAGCTCAGACAGTCTCGCTGAATATGGTGACATGTGTTGGCAATCCCACTCAGGAGCCTGACCTGGGATTGTGAGTTCAAGGCCAGTCTACTCCTTTGTCTCAAATTATATATATATGACATATATATATATATATATCATACCAATTAGAAAATTGGCAAAAGATGTACGTAGCCAGACATTTTCTAAAAACAATGCCAAAAATGGCTAACAAACATAGGAAAAGATATTCAGCATTACTAATCAATAGGGAAGGACAAAGGAAAAGCAAGATAAAGCATCACTCGTCAGAATTGCTAGAGCAAAAATGAATGGCAGTGAGAATGGCTGGCAAGGATGCTGCATGACCAGATTGTTCCTGTTTATACATTGTCAGTGCAGATGCCGTGTGAAAAGTCTCCACGGAGAAAAATATGGCTGTTTCTTACACAGCTCGACACTTAACGGCCACTCAGGAATTGTGACTTTGAACATTTATCCTAGAGAAATAAACTTAAAAATCAGACAAAAACTCTGCATTGCTTGTTCACAGAGGCTTATTTATTTATATATTTATTTATTATTTTTGTTTGTTTGCTTCTGTTTTTAGCTTTTGTTTTTCCGAGACAGCAGGTTTCTCTGTGTAGCCTTGGCTGTCCTAGGCTTGTTTTGTAGACTGGGCTGACCTCGAACTCACAGAGCTCTGCCTGCCTCTGCCTCCTGAGTGCTGGGATTACAGGTGTGTGCCACTGAGCCCGGCTGGCTTAATTTATAATAGCCCCAAGTGGGAAACTAGATGCCCTTTAGTAGAGGCCCTTGGTAAAGCTATGCCATAGAATACTACTCAGCAGTAAAAAGGAAAGAGCTTTTGCTACTTGTAGCATCTTTGTTGCTTTTCAAGAAAATCATGTTAAATGGAAATACACACATACACACACACACACACACACACACGCTGGAGAGATGGCTGTGCAGGAAAAGGCACTTGTTGCCGGCCTGACTATCTGAGTATGATCCCCGGGACCCATATCATAGAAAGAGCCAACTTATGAAAGTCATTATCTGACCTCAACATGCATGCACCCACATACAAATAAACAACACAACTACACAACTACCACCGCTAAATACACGTAAATAAATAAACAAGTGGCTGGAGAGGTGGCTCAGCAGTTAAGAGCTCTTGCTGTTCTTCCTCCACAGGACCTGCGTTCAGTTTCTGGTATCCAGATTAGCTGGCTCGTAGCTGCCTGTAACTCCAGCTCCAGGAGATCTGATAGCTTCTTCTGGCCTCCTCCAGCACTAGTGCTTATGTGGTGTGCATACAGACAGACAGACAGACAGACACAGACACAGACACACACACATGCACAAATAGTAACTAAAAATAAATCTTTTAAATATTTATTTATTTTTTATGCATACAGCGTTCTGTCTGCATGTATGCCTGCACGCCAGAAGAGGACATCAGATCTCATTATAGATGGTTGTGAACCACCATGTGGTTACTGGGAATTAAACTCAGGACCTTTGAAAGAGCAGACAGTGCTCTTAACCTCTGGGCCATCTCTCCAGCCCCCTAAATCTTTTTTTATTTATTTATTTTTAATGAAAGCATGCTCACTCTGGTAGCAAATGTACTCAAATCGGAGCGACACAGAGAAAGTTAGCATGGCGCCTGTGTAAGGACGACACAAATTCATGAAGCATTCCTTATTTGAAAAAAATTATGAAACCAATAAATAAATAAATAAAAATTACTACCTCAAGGGCATGCATATTCTGTGTGGTGGTAAATCTTGAGTTTCAACTTTACAGGACCTCCGATCCTCTAGAGGACAGACTTCTGGACAAGCCTGTGAGAGAGTTTCTAGACTGCGCAGATTGAGGTGGGAAGACCCATCCTAAATACAGACAGCACCATTCCGTAGACCGGGGTACCAGGCTGAAGAAAAAGGAGGGTATGAGCCGGGCGTGGCAGAAGTGAGTACAGGACAGTTAAGGCTACACAGAGAAACCCTGTCTCGAAAAGCCGAGAAGAAAAAAAACAAAGAAAGAAAAAGGGTAGAAAAGGAGGAAATAAAGTGAGACCAGCAATCAGTCACCTTTCTCTGCTTCCTGGCTACAGACACGACGTGACCAGGGGCCTCATTCCCCAGCCACCGTGATAAACCGTACTCTGGAAGTGGGATCCAAAATAAACTCTTCCATCCTTGAATTGCTCTTGTCAAACATTTTGTTGGAGCAATGAGAAAAATAACCAATACACTGTGTGATTCTATTTATAAGACATTCTTTATATGAGAAAATTGTAGAGGCAGTAAATAGATTGGTGGTTACTAGTAATTAGGGAGAAAAGGAGACGGATGTGGCTGTAAAAGAGATGCACAAGGCAATGGTGCATGCAAGGAAATGGTCTGTATTTTGACTGTGGTGGTAGCCAAGCAAATTTATACATGTGATAAAATTATATAGAAATAAATATACAGATGCACAAAGATAAACACATAAATGAAAGCTGTAAAACTGGCAAAATCCCAAAGATGTGTTAAACGTATGTGACCATTCATCCATCTATTAATTCATTCTTTTTTTGTTGTTGTGTTTGGTTTTTCGAGACAGGGTTTCTCTGTGTAGCCTTGGCTGTCCTGGAACTCATTCAGGAGTAGACTAGGCTAGCCTCAAACTCAGAGATCCGCCTGCGTCTGCCTCCTGTCCTGTGTTGGGATTAAAGGCGTGTGCCACCATGCCCAGCTTCTTTTTCTCCTTTAAAAAAAAAAAAAATCTTATGATGGGTTTATTTTGGCTTATAGATCTAGAAGAATAAGAGTCCATCATGATGGATAGGGCCTGGCAGCAAGTGGCAGTCAGGGTTGTTGGCAGCAGGAAGCGGAGAGTTCACTTCCATGATGTGATTTCCTATAACTGCATTTAAATCTATATTTATCTCAGACAGGTTATGTTGTTCTTCTTTACTCCAAGATGGTTGCCTCATGGCTCAAGGTGAGTTTGCCATTTATTTGTCACTCAGCTCTCCTCTAATAATTTGTGCCCTCCATACCTTATCTCTTTAACAGAGCCAGGGAAGAAAGAAACATTGTTATTAAAGCTCCATTTAGCAAAGGAGGAAATGGAAGCTCAGCCTGTAAAGTCATGCTCTAATCCACACAGAGATTAAGAGTCAAGAGCAAACCAGAGCCTCTGTCCCCCAACCCTCACACCACACCTCCTTCCCTGTACCTCTTCTCTGTCAAATCCCCCGTCTTAGATCTTTGGCCTAAGACGAGCCAGGGCTTTTCTTCTCTATAATTCCTTGTGGTTCCCTTAGATCCTTCCAGCTCCCAAGACTAGGTTTAAATGCTGGGGGCATCACATGTCACTCCTCTCTGAGCTTGAGATCCCAGCATTGTCAGAGGATCAGATGAAGTAATGCATTTCAAAGGGCTCTGGGCACACCAAAGGGGGCAGTTATTATTAATAACAGGGCATGATGAAGCAAAGTCTAAATATAGGCCACTTGGTCCTATTTATCCTCTGGTTTGATGGGGAATGCTTTGAGGCTTTATTTTACACCTTTATTTTATCTTAACACCTTCTAAATGTTCTAAATGTTCCCTAAAGTGGTAGGTTTCCAAAGCTCGTTGTTAACTATGATTTTGGTAGAAATGTGATCAGAAAAGTAGAGTATTGATGATAACAAATAAAAAGCCTTGTGCCCTAACTGAACTTTTCTCATAAACTGTCAAGAGAACCGAGAATGGTCTCAGCCAGAAAATGGCCCCTGGATTTCCTGTCTTATAACCTCAAGTAACTCCTTGTTTTCAATTTTGCAAATGTGAGCTCTGTCTTTTCAGGAGCACACAAGAATGTGGAATTTGCAAAGTACTTTAAGGTACAACATGCTCTAGCTATTTATACCAACCAGAACCCGTGGGCTGGTTTTGGGACAAGGTTTTTCCACATAAAATCAATCCCCTCCCCCCCTTTTTTTTTCTGCTTTCCCAGCTATGACAGACAACCTTGCAAATTCACAAACAAATTCCTCAGCTTTATTGCTAGTGCCAGTAACATGGGCTTTTAAAAGCACCTTTCATCTCCACATCTTAGGCAGCATTGCAAACAGTAATTAAAGCTCTCTGACGAGGGAGGAGGTATATATTATTCAACACATTTCCAAACAGGTAAACCCAGACTTACAAATTAAAGGCCTGTCCACAGGTCACCAGGGGTAGGAGCAGGGAGGAGAGTAGAAATAATTCTAGACTTAGAAGCCAGGCGTGGTGGCTCATACCTGTAATGCCAATACTTGGAAAGTAGAGGCAGAAGGATTAGGGGTTCGTGCTCGGCTACTATCAAATTCGAGGCCATCCTGAGCTACATGAAACTCTGCCAAGAAAACAAAATGAAATATGAAAGTCTAGTCTTCACGCTCTTAGATTCACCAAGGGTTGGGTGGTGAGCGCCTATAAGAAGCAAAGTGTGAATGTTTCCCTCAGACCTGGCAGAACATATACAGTGAGGTGATGGCAGAACTCGGAAAGAAGAAAAAACCTTATCATAATAGTACAAGAAAGAAAGGAAGAAGAAAAGGGGGATGGATGTATGCGGAAAACGATGGATGTACAGATGGACGGATACACAGACGAATGACAAGAACAGAAGAAGGAAGGAAAGCGCTTAGAAAATACCATAAACATTTTATTTTTTTAATTTGGTGGAAAGCTCACCCCAAGGTGCAAGGATCTTTCTGGAAGAGAAGGTGGAAAGACTGTAAGGGTCAAAGGTGGTGGATGACTTCCAGAAAACAGTGTTTTCCAGACCCAGCAGGGCCAAAGTGCATATGACAATGTTCGTGACAGCATGCACAGGATCTGTGAAACCTCTACCCAGACAAAACCCCAGCACAGGACAGAGAGGAAGGACATGTAATCCACTCGCTGGAGAGCTATTAGCATGTGAAACCTGCTGGGAGAGAAAGAGTCAGTTTTTTTAAAATGATGTGACCCGTTGTAACACCAGAGCTGGCCTGAACCCCAAGAATGTCTGGGCAACACAACCTGAGCTTCATAGGGAAGAAGAAGAAAAAAAAATATAATCTCAAAGTTGGGTGGGAAGGGATGGAAGGGACGAGAGGATCGTAAGGGAAGGAGTTGAAGGGTATAAATATGTTCAAAATATATTGTGAAACTTTTAAAGAATTAATAAAGGTTTTTTTTTGTTTTTTTGTTTTTTTTTTTTTTACTTTGGTTGAAGGTAGGGGTAGCATGACAAAAAGAATCCTGTGTTTGGACCACCTGGGTTTAAAGTACAGATTAAGGAGTTTATTTGTAAATGTGGGCTTACAGACTCACAAGAAACTGCCAAAATCATACAGAAAACTTATGGGCACCCATCACTCAGCCCCATCTCACCCCTAGCTACTTCTTGGGCAACTACAGTGCAATATCAAAACTAGGAAGCTGTCAGAATGTAATTAATAACCCTATGGATTGCAGTCAGATTGTACCAGTCTAGAAAGCATAAGATCTGTTTAAAATTTTAGTCTCATACATGACCGTACAGATTTTGAATACGCAGCCTGCTGGAGTCCAGGAGTTAAATGTCCCGAGTGTCAAGGCTTAGTCCCCAGAATGTTGCTATTGGGAGACCACCATATCTTTTTTGTTCTTGATTTATAAAAACGATACTTACTGGAGCTGGAGAGATGACTCGGCAGTTGAGAGCTCTTCTTGCCCTTGCAGAGGACCCAGGTTCAGTTCCGCGCTCCACCTACATGGCTGCTCAGAGCTGTCTATAGCTCCAGTTCCAGAGGATCCAACACCCTCTTCTAGTCAACAAGGGCGCTGCACACACGGTGTGTGTAGACTTACACACAGGGGAAACATCCGTATCAGAAAATAAAGATTGATAAACAAACATTTAAAGCTGCATCTTGTTTACTATTGGGGGGGGGGGGCACACGGTGAGTGTACGGAGGTCCCAGAACCTGCAGGAGTCAGTTCTCTCCCTCTGCATGAGTCCCAGGAATCTTACTCAGCTGCTCAGGCTTGGTGACAACACCTTCACCTCCTGAGCCATCCTGCTGACCCGGGGGAGGCATACCTAAAAGGTAGTGCTTCCTGGAAGGTGCTTAAGCCATAATAGATATGACCTTGAAGAAGATGACGGGACCCCATCTCTTCCCGTTTTCTCTGCTTTGCTTCCTGGCAATGAGGCAGACAGTTTTGGCCTGCCAGAGCTCCTACCATAGTGTGCTACCCCAGCTAGACCCCACAATGGGGCCAGTGTCTCATGGACTGTTGCTTCCAGTATGTGAGCCAAAAGCAAAGCCTTCCTCTTCACAAGTTAATCCCACGTATGTAGACACCTATAGCTACACTATTTTTCTTTGTTTCAAATGCATATTTTTTAATATTTTATTTATTACTTATACAGTATTTCACCTGCAAGTATTGCCTGCATGCTAGAAGAGGGCACCAGACCTCATTTTAGATGGTTATGAGCCACCATGTGGTTGCTGAGAATTGAACTCAGGACCTCTGGAAGAGCAGCCAATCCTCTTGACCTCTGAGCCATCTCTCCAGCCCCCTCAAATGCATTTTTTTTTTAATTTTAAAAGATTGTGTGCATTTTTTTGGTGGCCACATGTTTGTTTTATGGTGCTGGGGGTGGGAGCCAGAGCCTTGTGTATAGCAGAAAACTACTTACCACTAATCTATAC